ATGTAGAGTCAACATTTTGTATTTTAGTAGGTATTTTGTATTTGGGTATGAAATCTTAAAGCAAAATCTTCAAAATTTCTTCAGTTTGACTATCATTAATGATAACACATTTATAAAAAAGATAATAAGTATCGCTGAAGGGATCAAACAAAACATACAGCCTTGCCATTATTTCATAATTACTTTAGTGTCATTTTTTTTCATGAAGGCTTTGTTCTCCTTGATAAAGATAACCGTTATCTCCGAATCATATCAAAAGATTGTGAGCTGAAATTTATCTTCTCCAGACCATATCTTTGATCAATCTTAATAGAACCGTGCAGAAGATAAAGCTCTATCATTTCGTTCGTTAATTTGTACTACGACTATTCTCTTAGGTTGTTGGAAAATAGGTGGCTGTTTGAGATCAGTAGAAAAATATTTAATAAAAAAGTTATTCCATAAAAGTTCATAAAAATTCTATAAAACCACAGAAGTCCATAACAATTAGCCCATAAAAATTCCTAAAAATCCTAAAAAATTCTAAAAAATCCTAAAACATCCTAAAAAATCCTAAAAAATCCTAAACAATCCTAAAAATTCATGAAAATTAGCCCATATAAATCTGTAAAGATTATCCCATAAAAGTCCACAAAAATCCAGGACAAATAGTCCATAAAACTCCATATTTGCAAAAATATTTGCAGCCTACATATCAACGACTAAAAAATTCTAAATGGTTATACCTACGTGAATGAACAATGCTCAGTAGTTGTTTGCAACAGAATTACCTTTGAATTCGTTTTTTCTGCGTAACAAAGAGAAGAATATTGACTCGTGCACAATGTGCACATCGGGGGATGACCTCCGCGGTATTCTGCGCTCAAACAGCCGGGGAATTCAATATACCGTGAAACTGGATTAGCTTTCGCAAAGATCAAATCAAATATTTGGCGTAGACGTTCCGTGGCGAGAACGTGTGTATGTGTGTGTGTTCCTTCACGCGTCAGATATGCTATCGTTTCGAGATTCATAATATTTAAATCAATGCGTATCGTGATATTCGCGATAACGAAAGAATCTCTTTTGTTGATATTTCACTTATGTCGCTGGGGCTCGCTGATTAGATGGCGTGACTCGGCCAAACGGACACGCTTCGATTAGAAATTTCGATTATTTTTACCGATAAGACATTGATCATATTTCATTAATCCGTCATGAACAATGTGGGTCGTCGACGACCTAAGCGACTCTCCATTTTTCCTGAACTTTCCACCAAATTTTTAATTTTACCGTCGAAAGTTTTAAACATTTGACTTAATGAACGATTGTATATTGTAACAGAAATACTGATAAATAAACGAGAATTTTGTTAGATTTTTTGAACACCTAAAACAGTACGGAAAAATTAGGCTTCGATGTAATGACCCAGTTTGTTTATGAAATGTAAAAAGTACTTTTGCCTACTGAGGATTAAATTTATTATGTTTTTCAGGAAAATGAAAACTTATACTGATTCAATAACACTTCCCATTTTTCAATAATCTCCTCTATTTTTATAAGAGGAAAAAGCGAATATACGAACAAAATTCATAATTTCAATGTGTAAAATATGCATACACAGAATCATAACACCCAAAATATAATGTGGAGTGTGTACTATTTTTTATGAGGAATATTTTGAAGGTAATTATTTTGAAAATAATCATTAAGAAGATAAGCTAAAATTTATAGTAACTGTACTAATGAATAATGCACTAATTTCTCAATAAGATGATAATAATAATAATATATTGTTTGAAAACATATGAAAGATGAAATGAGTGCATAATAAATCAATATATCTTCCCTCTTTATATGCTTGATAAAAATGACGCAACATTAGAGAACAATAACAACTAGCATTATTAAAGAAGTATGTGTTGTTTGCTTGTTTAGGAACAAATACTCAATTTGTTGGAAAAGTAATACACATTACCTACTCACTGGCACACATAACATATATCCGGTTAACCTAATAGTAAAACGCCTTCTAGAACTCATGATCCACTTGTAGCCATTGTAATGTACCATACGTGATAAAATATCACAATTGGTAGCACGTCTCACCCGTAGGTTATCGTGTTATTTTATCACTTTCTGTCACAAAAGACCGCAACTATGCTACCAATGAACAAGTTAGTATCTAGAGAACTAATTATTAATGATACAAAACATTTCTGCAAATTCTAATTGTTCAGGTATACCTAGTACGTGGGCCTTCACGCATTTATGATTTATAAAAATCGTCCCAATGAAACAGAAACTTCAACGAAATTCAAATATTTTAATTAATGTAAACTTATTAGCGGGGAAAATAAAAGTCTATGTAATTACAGTTACTCTTCATCCGTTTACAATAATTTTAATTTACCTAAACATCCGTAATTTGTTTATAATAAAAATGCAGCGCTAGAAAACGTTTCCGAAATTTCGTAACTATTATATTAATGAATTTTGAAACAATAAAATTATGAATTATTTTTTAAATAAGGTAGGTGCATGTACTCTGCGTCCGACGAGTATACCGATCATCAGCTTGATTTTAATTTCGCACACAGATATACATTTTCAAAGAAAATTCCACTGTTAAAGGATTAAAAGGGGTCACGATAAAAAACGGCCGCTATCTGTTCCGGGGCGTGAATTATATTATCAATATCGCGATCAAGAGGACAATAAGATAAGTCAAAAATTCTCTATGTCGGCGAAACCTTTCACTCCAGCGCAAAATATATCGCATTTAAAGTCCATAATCCGAAATGAAATCAAAGTGCGACTGACGGATTAGTCGGTGTGCAGATAACGCGTGTAGAAAATCTTCCTGTCGTGGCGGAGCGCGGTTGATGAATTAAATTCGAGTAAACATTGATTTTTAATTGAACAGTTAATTCCACAAACAATAATCCGTATCAGCACGATAATATGATTAATTCATAAGGTGGCTAGAACGACAGATCGCTGTCTCGAAACTGCGCGCGGAATTAAGCACCCGGTTGTGCAACGACCGTCAAAACAGTTCGTGTACTGTTACCAATCTTCGTGGCAGCTGTCACGATGGCAATTAAAAAATGACAATTAGAACACCGACGATATTATCTTAATAACACCTTGAATTAAAAAGTCTCCGTCTAACTATTAAAGGTAAATTCCCTGTGTCAAAATAACGATAATCTTGAATCTTCGATGTTTATCATTTTAATCACACAATGGGGATTCCCGTTTGAAACGTTGATTGTTCTTACGATATTTTCAGGCTACTGAAAGTTCTGTGGGATTTAATGTAAATATGTGAAATTTTCTTTTATATGGAATTATGCGGAGAGTTCCATAGTACGTAGTCTATCCGAGAAAAAAGTGATTCCACGTATAAATACAAATCGATAGTGTGTAATAAAATATTTTTATATAGAGCCTCGTTTTCGAGAAAATCGAACTTCACTACTGCCGATAGCTTATTAATGTGTCTGTCTACTACATACTATACCTACTTAAAAGAATTGTAGATGGTGGTGTGGCTTCATTTGTTTTCTGTGGATCTTATTATCCTCTGTCTATGAATTTATATCAAATTAATAATACTATGTTACTATTACTGGTCATAAATGATGATATAAATGGAAACAGTCGATATCGAATAGGTACAGAAACTAAATAATATTGAAGTGCACGCAACAAAATAAATATTGAACTTCGATATTCTCACAAATTAAGCTCAATAAGATATAATTTTATTACACACGTCGATTCCACTGATTACGAATCACCCAGTGGATTACTTATATCTGTAAATCAGTGTATAACAATACATGAATATTGAGTTATTGTAATGATTTTTCAAAAGATTTGAAGGTACAAATTTTACGTGTTTGAAAAAAAAGAATGATAATTCTTTTATAAGTGCAAGAAGTTTATATGTATATCACATTTGAATATTATTATTGAAATTCTGAATACCTAATTGTTATTGACAAATGCAATTATTTAAAAGCACTTGTATTTGTATATTTATCTAAGAAATATCTATTTCCTTTAATTCACATAGTGATATCACACTTTCGACCAACAAAGTATTTTTAATTTAAAATAATAAATTAATGATTGCTTTCATTTTATCGTTTAATTGCAACGATAGAGTGAACAAATTTCGAAATGCATCAGATTAATTAATACACGACAAGCATTAATGGATCACTCTAATCTACATACACGTGTCGTATCGGTCAGGAATGTTTCAATTTTTTGACAAGATAACTTGTCTAGACTTTTTGGGCCAATGACCAGTGCATTCAAGGCAAAAAAACAAATCAGTCAATCGATTGATCAATCGTATACTTTTCTTTGTAACTGACACTCAGTAACCTTACATAACCTTTAACCACTGTTCATTGTACTTATTTAAAATATTTCCACTGAAAAGAGTTATTTATCAAAAAAATCATAAAATAATTAATAACAGTACAGTATAAACTACAAAAGAATTAATATGTAAACAATTTCTTTCTATACAATTTAGAAAAAGTTAACGATCTTGAGATATTTTTATTGTCTCCTCTTATTAGCTTTAAAGAAGTTCCACTGTTCCATATTCTCCTTAACATTACAACTACCAATCAAAATGACTGGTTCATACAATCTTATTATGATAATTAAAACGTTTCACAGGTTTAATTACAATAAGAAAATAAAGAAATTAGTTGATTTATAAATTTGTATAGTTTCAAAAAGTGTATGGATCTGATAGAAATATTTATATATATATGTTTATTGTCGATAGTTCTAATGTTAAACTATTAATCTATCCTTGCGTAAAAAAATTCTACGATTTCACTAAAAGTAGTATTTCACCAAAGTTAGATTTCTGCATATGAATCGACAGATTTCATTGACTAGTACGTTTATCACAGTTTGATGAATGAAAATGATTTACAACGATCATTACTCCAAGTGAGGTAATAATTAACAGTATTATTTTCACTCACCGGTGTCGTTTTCGTGCCCCCGAATTCCGTCGCCCACATCCTCGGCGGCTGTGGATAGGGCTGAAATCAAGAGAAATAACATTTGTTTCAGAATGTAGTCACTTTTAGCACTTTTTAAAGCTAAATATTAACCCTAAACTTTAATTAATCATGAAACAATCAGATACACTCCACAAAACGAAAACTAGTTTAAAACAACCTTGAATGACTTGAAAAAAATCGAGACTTTATTTGTCAGAATTAATTAAAAAGACATTAGTAAGTAGATTCCACGTATTCATAATAATTAAGTGCCTATGAGTATACCAATCCATCCTGAAAAAATTAGTAAATGTAATGTAGTCGATTAAAAATTACTAAAAATAATCTATAAAAGTGAAATAAAACGTGAAGTTTCATTACTGTTACACGTACCAATATATAAATCATTATATTTCTCCAAATTTGGTATTTCTTAATACTTGAAGAATATTCACATTTTTTTTCATCTTCATCAAGAAAATTCTTTTTTTCATGTTTGTCGAATATATTCAAGAACGGTAAAACGTAGGAAATTTAACCTACGTTACCACCTTAATGAGAAAACGGTGGACTACTCATTGCTACGTCTAATAGTATCGAAAATGAATTAAATACCGTGGAAAATCACCGGAACAAAATGTTCGCAATTAGAATCCGGGAAACGTAACATGCTACGGTGCAAAGGTATTTTAATATTTTAATATTCATAACCGTTTTATTGTACGATGTAAGAAATTACGAGCTCTTTCCTATTGGATCCAGCAATAAAAAAAAATGGAGGACATGCATAAAACAAATTATACCTTTTGTATAACTTGTGCACATGCTTCCAATCGCGAGTAACTGTTAATAGCCGATGTGAGGAACGACTCTGGATCATTTAAATTTCCGATCAGCCGTTTCGATATGCAAAAACTAAACGATTTGCTGTAAAAGGAGTAAAACAGAGTAGATCCGCAGCTTGTCTGTCTGTCGGATTAATTTATCGCAGTCCACCATTCCGATTGATCCTACTACAAACGTTTGGGAGATTACCTAACATCGAGGACAGGGGGACAAATTTTTTGCAATCTTGTTAATTAGGTTTCATTACAATCTTGTTAAATGTGTTTTTTTTTTGCAGTACAACGCACGTGAACTTTCATGTAAGAGATGTAAAAAAAGGAATTAACAATCGAAATTATAATCCATCTAACCCTAAGATTTTTTCGAATTATTTCATACTACCATGAGATTTGTCACACATATCGATTAGATAATGCATACCTGATTTGTGTATTTTGTCTATAATATCGAACGCGCAATAGAATAGATAACACTTTTGAAAAAGGAGAACAATCAGTGTTGTTATAATCCTGCTAATCCTTTGTGTTATCGCGAATTCTAGTATGTATGCAAGTTCCTAGAAAGTGTTTATTTACTCCATCAATTATATAATGTACACTGGTTTGTTCATTTCATTAAAAACGAAGCAAGAAACTGTTATTCAGTAATTACTGAGACCACCAGAATGTAATTTACAGTTTCAGTTCCCGGTATTATTACTTTTTTCTCGCCATTTCGTTGTTATTTTGCAGAAATATAATTGCTGGGCGGCGGATGTTTACGTAAATTCCCTTTTTTCCAGACTAATTCCGAAGAAATGGAATGAAATAGGAAGAAATTGCCTGCATCGAGAATTTCATTGAATGCAAAATAAGATAAAAACTTAATTACATATTATTGAAACTCTTTAGTTTTTCTTATTGATTCACGTATGCTATAAAATACATACAATTTCCGGTAAAGATTGAAATTGTGTTCCTCTTATAAATCGACTTAAAAAGACGATCACTATATGAGGGAATTCTATTATTTATCTTAATCATACTGTATTATTTAAGAAATGATAATCCTATTTTAAATTCATTGGTTGTATTAATCACCTAATTAACTACAATTATCATATATAATATATAATTTAAATGTAATATACAGTACCGCTGGAAAGTATTCGAACGTCTGGACTGATTTAGTAAAACACAAAGAACTTTCTATTCGTTACACTACCGGCCGTTTCTTTCTTCTTAATGATATTCCACACACACTGCTCTTCGATTCGTTTAGTTTATTTGCAATATATACCGATCGAATAGCCGTCATCGCGAAGAACACACACACTGCAGGACGTTTTTCAACTGAAATCTCTGCAACTTTCAGCACGTTAGAGCGAATGTTGTTTTGCCAAGGGAGGAACGAGGACTGATGAAGGAGAAGGTGAATTTCAAAATCATGGTAGGGACACGGTCCTAAAGAAACAGTAAAATGGAAAAAATGTCTCTGGTACCTTTATGGTTAGCGAGTATGAAATTAACGGTAAGACCCGAACTGTTCATAGTGGTCGAAAGTCAGTCTATTAGTGGCATATTAATATTCTTGTCTTACTATACATTTATGACAAGCAGCTGACAAAAACGATGGACCCTGTTTTCTAAATAATACATACCATCGGCTAAGAGCCATAAAATATATACCTGAGTCAAAACATTGTCATAAACTTGTAAAGTTATATCGTTCGCATAATTCTGAGCTGTTAATATATAAATCGTATATACTATATGATAATTATCGTATGTAATTGTAATATAATTCTCCATCCAAAATCTATTTGTTATATTTCTAATATCCCAGAAATGCTCGTGCAGTGCCACGCAATTGATTCTCAGAATGCGCGTCCAGCGGCTACGTAAAACGTAAGCGAAACTTCGCGAACATTAATTATCTTTGCTGAGAACGCGAAAGGGTAACAAGAAAGGGTATCGGAGTAATTAAATATCCATGTATGTAGATTCTCCGCAGTGTGTACATCTTCGCTTAAATATTTTTGCGCTAATTTAAAAACACACGTTAACAAACACGTAGAGTCCACATAATTTTCCTTTAGTTAAAGATTTAAAAAGTTATAATTCAAACGGACTACAGACTATCATGATCTTTAGAGAACCTATTGACTTCAAGAATTTAGAATTCTGTTAATAGAGTAAACAAATTCTTTTCTTGCTGGTAGAAATAACTAAGGCTTAATGGTGTTAATTTTAGTGGGAGGTTTAGGAAGCAACTTTTAAAACGGATTACAAATTAGTATGGTTATTGAAGAACTTACTGACTCTAACACGTGTAAAATTCTATTAATAGAATAAATAAATTTGCTTTTCTGTTGCGAGAAATGCCTGAAGCTCAATGGTGATAATTTCAGTTGAAGATTTTGGAAGTAACTGTCAAACCGGATTACAAATTAGTATGACTTTCCAAGAACTTCTTGACTTTAAAAACTTAAAATTCTATTAACAAAGTAAACAATGTTATTTCTTGTTGGCAGAAATACCAAAATCATAACGGTGACACTTTCAGTTGTAGATTCCGGAAGTAATTGTTAAAACGGTTTACAAATGATGTACGATGATCTTCGAAAAACTTACTCGCTCTAAAACTGTAAAGTTCTATTAATAGAAAAAATAAATTTGATTCCTGTTGGCAGAAATACCTAAAGTCTGGTGGTGTTTATTTCAGTTGATGATTTAAGAAGTAACAGTTGAGACAGATTGTAAATTACCATGACCTTCGAAACATGTACTAACTCCCAACATTTTAAATTCTACTGACAGAATAAATAAACTTGCTTCTCGATGGAAAAATTACGTAAAATCTAATCTGAAACATTATTTCGATTGCAGAAGCTTATTCCGAGAGTGAGATATGCTACCTTAAATTAATTGAAATTGTGTGGTTGAATGTCGAAATTTCTTTGCAGACCCGTTTTGTATTGTTAAAGAATGATACGATATTCATGGAAACTTTTCTTAATGAAGTCATGGCCGTACAAGCAAAAGGACTAGGCCCCCCCCCCCCAGGGATCGTCGAAATACATTCGCGAATCTATTCTTATTCTGTCTAGTTGAGATGACGAGCATATGTTTCAGCACCTTTGGTCCCAAGCACTCGTAAACGTTTAAAATCGTTTATTAACGTTGCACAATGGGTACACGGCCTTATACGCTTTAATATCTGTCAAAATTAAACTGAAGTTATCTAAAATACAACATAAACCTTGACACAGCTCTCGTTTCACAGGACCACTTATCGAACACAATTAATTTTCTATACGACGCAAACATTTTTTCCCTAAAATCTAATTAGCTTAAAACATCGTAATAGAGACTGACCTTCATTGCTAACGACCTACATATATATTTATCGATATGACGTAAAAGACGAGAAAAATATGGTAAATAATAAGAAATCTTACAAATACTAAGATGGAAGTAAAGAAAAAGTAAAATGTGCTTTTAAATCTGAATTTAAAATCTGATACGTTCGTCCCACGATTCAGATGTTATTTACATTTACTTACCATGTGCCAATTATTTTTAACTTTTGTAAACCTGTTCTTTACATCAACAGAACTCAATAGAAACATAAATACACTTATTCTGTTTTTACACGGATTTTTTCTAGACAATTCTAATTTAACACAGTCTAGAAAAAAAATTTAATTTTCCTTTTGCAATATTTGTTTCGATCTACCACGAACCAATACATAAGAGTTTTCAAAAAATCTTCACTTAATTGTAATTCTAAGTGAAAATATTCCTATTTATTTGTCTGGTAAATTGTTTTCAATTACAAAACGACAGTCTTAACTGGTGTATCGTATTATTTCTACTGGTTTCTATGGTCTGAAGAAAATCTTCTATTTTTTTTGTTCATATGCACGGTATCTTTTTTTGAATGTTTTTTGTTAATACAAATTTTTCAAAAACGTACTTATCGTGTAAAAACAAAATTAAGTGTATATCCACAGAGAACACCGCTAAGGTTATGATTTCGTGCGAACGAATCAATCTGTTCGTACACCAATTAGTGCGCCTATTTATTTATCTCGTCGCATGGATACTGGAGTCATGCACTTATTCAATGACTCATTACACGTGCTACTGTCCCAAGGACAAAAGCACACGTAATGGAAGGTATTGTGTTTTCACAAGTTCTTCCACGAAATT